GTCGAAGATTTCCCCGCGTTAAAAAAAAAGAAGACAAGGGAGAGGATAGAACGGGTAGTGGTGGAAGCAAAGGTCGACTCAGATCACCAGCCAGTGACGGCGTGGGTAGAAAAGATGGAGGACGGTTTGGGTAAAAGGAAGGAGGAAAGGGCGGAAGTGGGAGAAGAGATTGGTCGGAGGAGGGCAGGAAAAAATTTAAAAAGTTAGTGGGGGATAAGCAAATTCAGGAAAGGGAATGGCAGGGGCTAAAAAGGAGGATAGGGAAGGTATTAAAAGAAGTAAATAGGAAAGGCAAGAAGGGTGGAGAAAGGGGCTGGTGGGGTGAGGAATGTAAGGAAGGGAAGAGAAAAGGTTCATGTTAAGGAAATGGAGAAGGAAAGGAAGGAAGAGTGACAGTTATAGGGAGGAAAAACAGCGATACAAGAAGCTGTGTGAGGAGAAGAAAAGAAAAGTAGGGAAAGGGAAAAGAGAGGTAAAGGAGATTAGGACAGAGGGGCAGATATGGAAGGTGATAAACAGGGAGAGAAAGAGGAGAAGAAAGTTGAACGAGGGAATTAGTATGCAGGAATGGGATAGGTATTTCAAAGATTTGTTGGGAGGAGTGGTAGGGAGGGTGGTGATGGGAGCAAGAAGAGAGGGGAAGTTGGAGGAGGAAGAGGAAGAGATAAGGAGAGAAGAGGTGTGGAAAATGGTGGGAAAATTTAGGGAGGGAAAAGCGATGGGAAGCGATAGAATTCCAAATGAGCTATGGAAGTTTGGAAGTAGCAAATAACCTAAAAAGTGAATCCGTCGCGTCTCCCGGTGGTCGTGGGTGGTCTACTGGACGTTGACTGCTCGGAAGATATCATTAAGAATCTGATCCTCGTGGTGTGCAGACAATTTTCCACCGACGAACTGGTCGCCAAGAAGTAGAAAAAAGAAATCGGCTGAAGCTGTTGATACCGTGGTTGAAATCTCGCGTTCACGAGGGCTGCGTGGAGCCGGCTACGCACAACGCGCTGGCCAAGATTTTGACATTGACAGCAACAATAATCCCGAAAGATTTCTGAAGGAAAATCAATTCTACGACAATAAAGTTCACACAAGTTCGAGTTCATTTAAGCTACGGTAAGCATATTTAAGTTTTAAAGCTCTACAGTAGCATAATTGTAAATGTATAATCGAGAGCGAATATGCTAATAAAATAAAATTAAATAATCTATTATGTTATTAATATTATAAAAATAAGATTATTCTTTTTTTGTTGCAGAAAAAATGGATTCCGAAACAGCGTTACTAGCCATTTTCTGTTTTGTAAATAAATTTAAACGAAGTTACAGTAGTTTTCGTCGACAAAAATTGCGACGTAAAATATTTCTATTGTATGCACTGTACGTAATTGCGGTATACGAAGAATCTCAAAAAGAACGATAATATTAGGTGCGTCCTATATTTACCGTACAACGGCGATTGTTACAAGGAGCGAGCGATAATCTCGTAATAGAAATGGAGACTGAAGACAAAAAAAAATTTGTCAATTATTTCCGAATGGATCCTATGTTATTTCAAGAATTACTCAAATTAGTCGGCCCAACCATTGTTAAACAACATGTTGTTCGAGAGCCAATTCTTCCTGAAACACGTCTGCAAATTACGTTTCGATATTTAGCATCAGGAGACAGCATGACATCGATCTCATATGTCTATCGAATTGGCCATAATACAGTATCAAAGATAATATCAGAGACCTGCAAAGCAATATGGAATGCTTTGAAGGAGACAGTTTTTATTGATGACAGTCCAAAGAGTTGGCAAGAAATTGCCAACAAATTTCAGCGACTTTGGAACTATTCAAACTGTATAGGATGTATTGATGGAAAACACGTTACATTGCAGGTATATAGAAAAATGTTTTTTTATTATAAATTATGGTACAGAAACTTCAATACTACACATTTATCATATGACCAACTTGTCATAACAAATGTTAGTCGAAGAATGTTAAATTATTAATGTTCGACGAGTAATAAAATATATGTAATTTGTCTTACAGGCTCCGGCAAATAATGGCTCGACGCATTTCAATTACAAAGGACACCATAGCATTAATCTGTTAGCGATTAGCGATGCGAAATATCGCTTTGCTATGGTCGATATCGGTGCGGAAGGTAGACATAGTGATGGAAGAGTTTTTAAAAATAGTGAAATGAGAAAACGTTTTGAAGAAGGTACATTCAAGCTGCCAAATACGAAGCCTATCGAAATTGATGGACCAGCACTGCCTTACGTGTTGCTAGCGGATGAGGCTTTTCTACTGACAACGTACATGATGAGACCGTATCCGCGAAGTGGCAAGCTAGATCTCAGGAAGAAAGTTTTTAATTACAGGCTCAGTCGAGCAAGACGTGTTGTAGAGAGCGCTTTCGGGATTCTAGCAGCAAGATGGAGGATTTATAGAAGACCCATATAATTGCAAGTGTTGCAAATGCGAGAAAAATTGTTCAAGCAGCAGTAGCACTTCATAACTTTATTATCAGTAATGAGGAAAAATTACTTTCCAGGAGTACATATGTACATATAACTCCTGAAGATCGCAATATAATTTCTCAAGGATTTAGCTCGTTGCCAGTTACTAGAGACAGACAAATGAACAATGGCCTTGAAATTCAAAATGCTTATTCAAATTTCTTTATAGGTACTGGTGCATTACCATTTCAGTGGGAGAGGGCAATGAATAATGATTTTTAATCTATTTGATATTACATTTTTTTTATTACATATACCTTACATATAACCCAAAAAATTACGTTTTATTTTTGCAAACATAACACTACATAATAGTAAATAAAATAGAATTGTCTTAACAAAAAATAAGACTAAAAAAAAGATAATTTTTGTTCAAGCTCAAATAGTAGCGATAGGACTTTCATTTCAAACTGAGCCCTCTCACATGCTGGAAGGGCTCGTACTCTATCTTCTATTTGAAGAAAAAATTCATCGATGGCGTCTGGATTTCTCTTAGACTCGCCTTCCAGGGCTGATAAAATTGCCTCTTTTACATGTGAGATATTGTTACAGTTTCTTGATTCTAACAAACAGTAAATAAAACATTAACGTCAGTATGTAGATAGTAGTTTAATAAAACTTTTTTTATATCCCAAAAATTATTTAATTATAATCACATGTTTTTATTTGTTACTGAACTATACTATCTGACAATTTTAGCAGGAACTTATTACATAAATAAGTAAAACTAATTTTTTGGTTTTGGTTGCTGCTGACTCGGCGATAGGGAAACATAGCTCGCTGACTGTTCAATTACAGTAGAAATGTTCGATGTTTGAGGTTGCGTGACCTGTAGAGGTTCCTAAATTGCTGAATCTATATCATCAATATTTTTATCCGGCAAGCTGGAGATAGTCCTGTACAACAAAAAGTCCATTACGTTATATCATTTGCCACATATTACAAAACAATAAATGTAACAAGTAAACAAAGATAATACAATACGTACGATGATTTTCCTACAACGTCGTCAAGAAACTTCATCTGGTCATAGAAACTGAAACCTTTTTTCGAGATATTTGAACAACTTGCAGCTGATCCGCTTGGAATGTACTGTTTACGTCTTGCTTTAATATAGCAATCGCGCAGTTGGTTCCACCTTTTTTGCACCCGTTCCAAATTGTTTTTGTTTTCTGTATTTATATTTAAAAAAATTACAAAATTGTACTTCTTTAGATAATAACTTTACACAATATTTTATTAATTTGTTTCAATTCTTGATAAAAAACAAGAAATAATTTTGTATCTGAGTTTATTCAATTATTACATTTAATGTTAATTATTATGTACAAATAATAAGAAATAAAAATGTAAAGAAAAGAACAAATTGTAACCCGAACAGAAAAAAGTGTCTATATTTCGTCAATTTAATTAAATTTATTTTTGTTTGTTGTGGGTATACAAAACATTTAAATTAGAAGTTTTAATTGAATGACATTATAATTAATAAACTTACCTCCCAACACATTAAGGATTTCTTTCTATAAAGCTTTATTTTTTAAACTTGTTCTTTCTTTCACCGGAATTCGATGATCGCATAATCCTGGTCTTGCTTGGACTGCAGCAATGAGGCACATTCATTATAATCCTCTGAATCAGTCACCGATGACTGAACTTTTTCAACTGTTAAAAAAATGTATATGGGGTATTCTCCGTGAAATCAGACACCCTCCCTGTTCGCGATCGAACCGTAATCCCCCGTGAATAATCGCGAGGAGAATTATCGCTTAAGCCCAGCATTGTTTCGGGAACAACCGCCGTTATTCCAAGACCTTCGAGAAGCCGAGAAACGAACGCGTGTTTTTCCTCGCGTGCTCGCTCTATCCCCTTTGTCTCATCGCGCGACGTAAACATTGGAGACGGAGCTCCTGACCTCGGCGAGAACAGCTGATCGGTTGCCGACTCCGAAATTCGAGACGTTCAAACCGAAAGACAAGTCGACGGGTCGGCTACCGATTGGCTCGGCTAATTGTTCGGCTCATTACCGGGGATACGTGATGCGTGGGGATAGGGAGCTCGTACCTCCGAGTGCGCCGGAGGCTCGGGCAGATACGTTTTCGGAGACGTAACGAGCATCTCTTCCGTTTTCGAAAAGCGAATTGTCACTTGCTTGGAGTCTCGACGACGGCTCGATCCGTGGCTCGCGGAATAGATCGTGCGACGAGAACCGTAGTTCGCGGAATAAGCGCCGATTTTCGAGGAATCAGAACCGCGTTTCGTGGATTCCTAATCTCCGTGTAAATAAATGTATATATTCTGTGTAAATATATTCTGTAAATAGACATACGAGAGTTAACTGGAAATAAGCCCCAATCCCGCGCCTCTAACTCGATCTTCCTTCTGCTCACGCACATTTATTGGTCCTTCGAGCCGGATTTCGCGACCGATATCCGCGCCGCGAGTGAGTGGTCAAGGGTGAGCTTCTCGTGCTACGAGTGACCGCCTGGAAGACGAAGATGAGCAACCCTGAGATGGAGGGACTTATCCGTTCGCAGAACGAACTGCACGGACGCATCGCACGCGCCTATGAAAACTTGAAGAAAGCGGGAGGCGCAAGATTGACAATGGGACTGGTGAATGCTCGCCTCCAAGCCTTGGAATCGAACTGGAACAAGTTCGAGGAACAACACGGCAAACTGCTATTAATGCCTCCAGATGTTCTCGCCGCCACTGACTATAAGGAACAGGACCTCCCGGCTTTGGTGGAGGAGACCTTCTTAACGCAGAAGGGAATGTTCCTGGACGTCCTCCTGTCGCACAAGGCGAGGGAGGAGGCTGCAGCTAAGAATGAGACTTCGGAGACGGCGACAACGACGAATCGCACCACGTTACCGCGGATTCAGCTGCCGGAATTCTCAGGCAAATACGAGGACTGGCCGTCGTTCCGCGACCTCTTCCACTCTCTCATAGGCCGGGACGCTAACACGACGCCGGTGGAAAAGCTGCACTACCTCAAAACTTCCTTGAAAGGTGAGGCTGAGTTATTAGTCCGGAATATCGCGACGACGGCCGAAAATTATAACAGTGCGTGGGACGTATTGAATGCGTATTATGAGAACAAGCGACTTCTCACCCGCGCGTATTTGTCCAATTTCCTTGCGCTAACGAAAATGAAGAGTGAATCGGCGGTCGAGCTTCGAAAGATTTTCCACGGCGTCAAAGCAACGGTCAGCTCGTTGGCGAGTATCGGTCGGCCTATAAACCGTAGCAAGGACCTATTCGTTTATCTGGCGGTCGAGCTACTGGATCCGCGTTCGCGACGCGAGTGGGAAACGTCAATCGGCGACACGACCGAGCCTCCGACGTATGCGACTCTCGAGCAATTCCTCGATCGGCAGCTGCATACGCTCGAGTCGATGCAGCCTGCTAAGGTCGACGGAGCCGCCGGTAAGGCCGCGAGCGGAGCCGCCAAATCCGCGCGGAGCCACCTCGCTCGGAAGCAGGAGGGAAATCCGGACGCCAAGCGAGGTCGTTGCCACTGCTGCCAAAAGGACCATATCCTCATGTTCTGCGAGGACTACAAGAGGAAAACAGCCCAGGAACGGAAGCAGCTCGTCGACAACAAGAACCTGTGCCTGAACTGCCTCGGTTCTCACAAGGTCAGTGAGTGCGCGTCGAAGAAGGGGTGTGCAGCGTGTGGCGCGCGACACCATACTTCCGTCCACGATGCGTGTCGCGAGGTCGAGGTCGCGAAGACGGTTCACGCGGCTCAAAGACTTGCCGTAAAGCCGAGCGCGGTGCTCCTCGCCACCGCTCGCGTTCGCGTAGCCGATCGGTTCGGAACCTTGCATCACGCTCGCGCGCTGGTCGACCAGGGATCGGAGTCGTCCCTTGTGACCGAGCGCCTCGCGCAAAGATTAAAGTTACCGCGTTCTCGCACGTCGGTTTCGATATTCGGCGTCGGCGGACAGAAAACGGCCGTCGCAAAAGGACGCGTATCGCTGACTCTCGCGCCGCGAACCGACGGCCCCGCGATGTCGGTCTCCGCGCTCGTACTCCCCCGGCTCACAATATACGCCGGCGGTATCGAGGCCGGCGCTGAAGCGTGGTCTCATCTTCGGGGTCTGGAGCTGGCGGACCCCGAGTTCAGCGCGTCCGACTCGGTGGACATTCTCCTCGGTGCCGACGTTTACGCGGAAATATTGCAAGAGGGACTTCGCAAGGGGGGTAGTCGCGAGCCCGTCGCGCAAAACACGACTCTTGGCTGGATTCTGTCTGGCGCTATCGGTGAAAGTGCTTCGAGTCACTTCGCGCAATCCTACCAGTGCCGTGTCGAGGACGAACTGTCGCAACTAGTGAGACGATTTTGGGAGCAGGAGGAGGTTCCGTCGGCTGCCGGACCGCTCTCGAAAGCCGATCAGGAGTGTGAGGAACATTTCGCGCGCACACATTCGCGTAAGCCCGACGGGCTACGTGGTGCGACTCCCCGTCGTCGAGCCGATGCCGAATCTCTGTGGTACGCGCCGCGCGGCCGTTCGCGTGATGAAGGCCATGGAAGCGAAGTTCGCGCGGGATGCTTCCTTCCATGCGCTGTATACAGATTTCATGCGTCAATATGTCGAGCTCGGGCATATGACGCCGGTCGATCCTCCGGCCGATCCGGCGAAAATGACCGTCTGCTATCTGCCTCACCATGGAGTGATGAAGGAAACCAGCACGACGACGAAATTGCGAGTCGTCTTCAACGGTTCTTCCGCGCTGCCGACGGGAGCGGCGCTAAATAAGTATCTGCAGACCGGGCCGAACTTGCTGCCGGCTTTGGCAGAGATCTTACTCCGTTGGCGGCGTCACCGGTACGTTTTTGCGGCGGACATAGAGAAAATGTACCGGCAGATCGAAGTCCACCCGGAAGACAGGGATCTGCAACGCATAGTCTGGCGTGAGAGCCCTAGCGATGTGTTGCTGGAATTTCTCCTAATCACTCTCACGTACGGGCTTGCTTGTTCCGCGTTCCTAGCGATTCGCACGTTCCATCAGCTGGCCAAGGACGAGGGAGTTGAGTTCCCGCTAGGAGCTATCGCCCTCCTACTGGAGACCTACATGGACGACGTATTGTCTGGCGCGGACACGATCTCGAGGGCCAAAGAGATCCGTCGTCAGCTGGACCGAATCTGCATGGCGGGCGGCTTCCCGCTCAAGAAGTGGTCGGCGAACGAGGCGTCGATACTCGATGAGGTCCCTCCTGAGGATCGCCTTCAACGCGAGCCCCGGTGGTGGCTCCCGGGAGAGAGCCACTTGACCCTCGGGCTGCGTTGGCATCCACGCGAAGATCAGTTCGCCTACTCGACGCAACTGACCCAACTGGAGGCTATTACGAAGCGGTCGGTCTTATCTTTAGCCGCTCGGCTATTCGATCCGCTAGGGTGGCTCGCCCCCACTACCGTATTAGCTAAAATTTTGTTTCAGTCCACCTGGTTGCTGGGATTGGATTGGCACACGCAGCTCACTGACACCGACGTCCGACGATGGCTCGAATTCCAGGCCGGACTGCCTCTACTGGAAACGATCCGAGTGCCCCGATGGCTGGAGAGCGATCAAGAAGGTGTTAAGCGCGAACTGCACGGATTCGCCGACGCCTCGGAAAAGGCGTACGCAGCGGTGGTCTACCTGCGGACCGAAAGCTCGAGCGGCGAAGTAGTCGTGAGCCTCGTGGCGGCGAAAACCAAAGTCGCTCCGTTAAAGCAGGTCAGCCTTGCACGGCTGGAGCTAAACGCTGCCGCCTTACTCGTCCGACTCGCCAATCATGCTCGGCGGGTCCTCAAGATAGAAGAGGATCCGACCCATCTGTGGACTGA